TATAAGTTTTAGATGTGTGAACAATGAGAATACTGAGATGATTTCAGCTGATCTGAATGTGTTTGCTTTGCAGAAGTGGAGAAGTACAGGAGAGGAAGAGACATGAAGTCTGAGGAGCACATACCGCAATGCTTAGATAATTAGTTTCATATATGGTAAAAAGAATAGAAAGTGATATACAGATAGTAAGGTACAGCACGTGTAGGGAGTTGTGTTGTTCTCTTGTCTTTCAAAACAGGAACCACGCCCCCACCGCCAGCGGGAAGGAGTCAGATTAACAGGAGGCAGGGGCGTGGTGTGGTGAAGGAGGAAGTGGAACTGCCAATGAGAAGAGGACAACGCCTTGCGTGCACAATGACTCATGTGACGCTTAAATACACTGGGTCAGCAAGAGATAGTTGGTCAGACTTCGTGAACTGACACGTTTTGTTGCTTGTAAGGGACGTGAAGTTGAGACCCAGAGCTCTGTAATTTTATTCCTTTACTGCTTAATAAACTACATTAACTGAGACCGAATATCTTCTCCTATTGCTTCATTAAAGAACACGCAGGACTGAGCTCACACATAGCACATTAGAGAGTAGGACAAGACTGGAGTCCGACACCAGCCCACTACATTATCAGCGGACACCACGTAGAAGTCCACAAATCTGGGCAGAGAGTTAGAGAGGAAGTCTACGCAGCCAAAACAGCATGCTACCTTAAACTATAGATAATTGCTACAGTGTTTCCGCAACATTCATTTAGCAGCGGTGTGTCACCGCTGCTAAATTATTGCCGCCACTGCTGCTCCTTCAAAACATTTTTGCAAATGCACCACCACTCTGAGACATCTGTGCACTTGCACAGCACAGCAGCCAGTATAGTGAGGGGAGTGGGGGAAGGCTCCTATTTAGGGATGCACCGAATATATTCGGCCGAATATTGCAAAAAACACACATTTGGTATTCGGTGGAATAAGTGAAAAGGAAGGCCGAATAATAGCGGCATGTTTTGATGACGCAATCAAACAGCGTGCGGTGACGGACGGAGTAAAATGTCGGCAGTGTGGCAATAAACACTAACGGCGAATCCCACCGGTTGTGGGTTGAATGGGGGTCACAGACACGGACAGGAATAGCCTACATATTCATGTCAAATACGGCAGCGCATTATAACGGCTTACCAGCGAAGAAGTCCGGCTCCAGGTGAATAACTTGTTGTCATGACTGCCCAAAAGTACCTGAACAGCTGAGCCATGGCGGCACACAGTATGTGTCGTATCAGAGGAGAAACTTTAGGGACTGTTCTTTACTTGTCAGGGGAGGAGGGTGGCTGGTTGATTTTTATTTTATTTATTTATTTTATTTTGATCCCCCCTATGTTAATCACTGATTGATGCTGTTTTTGAAGTATGAATAAGTCAATAAGTAATTTATTCCATTGAAATATCATTGATGTATTATAGAAAAGTGATTTATCTTTTTATAAATGACAAAAGGCACATCTGCCTCATTTT